TAATGGTTTCCTCCTGTTATGTAATCATTTTTAATTTCCATGCTAGTTCAACTTCTCGCTACTATGAACATGCTGATGAGCTCTACTATTATCAAAGCACAGCCCAAACAAGATTTTATTATTTCCATGTGAATTATGTCCTATGTCTCTACGAAAATGAAGGGATCTTACTAGTATTGTTCGTTACTTGGTGCAAAAGCCTACCTCATGATTTCTAGCTTTTAAATTCGAATTAGCAAAATTGATAGATAAGAGAAAAGCATGAGCTCAAGATTAGAAAAATCTTCTAAAGATGGGAAAAGGGCATCCTTGAAATCTCAATTAAGCTCTGACATTACTTTTTCTCATCCCAATCCATTGACGAGGTGCCAACAAAGAAAGCAGAGAGGCAGGTTCAACTTCATGGTCTGTATGGATGTAAAGAGAAGTAAGTTCTTGATGCAGACCATTGCCTCCTCTATGCAGGAGATTTAGAAGAACACACAACTTGGGACTCGCAGCACTTTTAGGCCACATAAAAGGGAGTCCCTTTTGGCACTATCATATTTTTCATTGAAATGTACTTTGATTTCTTTTGATATAATATTCAATTGACTGATAGTAATTTGCAGTGCTTTATTTCCATAACTTATTCTATGGCTAATGCATAGTTATGTGGGGCTATGAAAAAAAATATACAGTAATTTTCTAAGTCAATGATACTGTCTATAACCGTGATAGCCATGGTATAAGACAATAACTAATATTATTATTATGACTAAAACACCAATTTTTCCACAATAATACTTATCCAGAAGATTCATGCATGGAATCCCTAAAAAAAAAAAGATAGAAAAAAAGAGGGGGGAAAAGGAAACATTCCTTTCGGCCAAACTTGATGCTTTTGTAGGCCCATTTTTGTTTGTCATGAACTCACGGATTGAAAGATTCTTCTCTTTAAATTATTTAATCAAGAGAACATTTATAGAACACATGTTTTCCTTTTATGACCATTCAAACACGGAAGGAGATATCTCTGGAAAAGTTGATGTGATTTTCATATATGTCATTTTCATATATCATTTTCATATATTATTTTTATTTTTTAAAGATGATAGGTTCTTTCCGTGGTGAAAATTAAGGAGTGGTTGTTTTGGTGGTTTCCTCTGCTCTTTAATTAATCATCAAGTTTATTCTTTTCACGTGTTTGTAATTTTAATATATTGATATTAAAAATAAAAAATATATTATTTTAATATATTTTAATTAAAAAATATATAATTTATTATTGCAATAGCTTTTTCAGGCTTATGTTTTTTATTTGGCTTTTTAAACCAAGCGAGCCCAGCTCCATCAAAATTCTTAAACATAGAATCAAACTAAGATTTTCAATCTATTTCTAACAAAACGAAGTTAAGTGTTCTCAAGTATTTATAGTGATTAAATGGATATGAAATGGATCTTTGACTCTTTGAGAGCAAAATACTAGACATATCTGTAAATAAAAGCATTTCTAGGCTTACAGTGGAGAAAAATTCGAGACATGAAAAGTTCGGTTTGGATATAAGCTGAACCGAATTGAACCAAGATGTTTTTTATATATATTTTTCAATTAATTTTCATGATTTTTCTGCTCTATTTTTTTTTAAAAAATGCCCTATTTATTCAATGCGCTTATTTTGATTATCACCTATTTATATTTGTTTTGCAGTAGCAGGTTTCACAAATTTAGCAATTGAGAGTTTGAAAGGTAATTTCATAAAAAAGGATATAATTATTAGTATATATGGACATACACACACATAATTTATCCATTTAAAGGAGGGAATTTGTTTACAAGATAACATCACCCTGTCAAAAGTTTCACATGTGTCAGACTTCTTCTAGGAATCCTTAAGTACTGTATTAACTACATGATCCAAAAATCAAGAAACCAAGTCAATATCACCTTCTTTTTTCTTTGATAAATCATCATTACCAATTTTTATCTCTTTCCGTGTCATGTAATAGAATTTTAGCGCATATTTAGGACTCGTACTTTGAGCATATCCATTTGAACAACAGAAGGCATCATTGTTTGCACCCAGAAAAGGGTTTAGAAGAAGAAGATAAACAGTCTATAGTGAAGGTAGTAACAGGTTTCATTTTCCTTTTTCTCTTTTTGGGTTGTTTTGAATGTACTCTGCGTGGTTATAATTAAGATAATCAAAGCATAATTTGAAAGAATCTTTGTGTTTAATTTTTTTCCCAGAGACAAGGAAGTAAGACAGAGAGAGTGTAAATATATGAAGGATTCTTGATTTACATTTGTTTATTAGACAGATTTGGTCTGTTGTTTGATGTAGGATTAATATTCCGTTTGGCATTATAGATAGTGAAGATTCTTAATTTGATCTATTCGAGGTTTTGTCTTATTTTTTCATAGGAATTTGATGCTTTGTGTCAATAGTTGTCAGCGTCGATGGACTTTACTGTAAAGAGGTGTTTATGAGGTTCTGATAATTTTCAAGGCTGTGAATTTGCAGATTGTATCTCAATTTATCAGTTAGCTCCTCTGAAATTTACTTCCATCTGCAAAAATGGTGGAAGGAGGTGTTGCCACTGCTGACAAGACAGAGTTTACAGAGTGCTGGAGGACCGTATGGAAGACTCCTTATATTATGAGGCTTGCACTTTCAGCTGGCATTGGAGGGCTCCTGTTTGGTTACGATACAGGTAAAAAAATTCAACTCTTGGATAGGTTTTATTAGTAACTTGGATGGGTTTTCACGACTGTCTGTCTCTTGTAAGTTTGCTTTAATTTGTGGTCTTTGTGATTTATTAAAACATAGTAATGAGTCTTTTGTTATGGCAATTTTTAGGAGTTATTTCTGGTGCTTTGCTTTACATTCGTGACGATTTTGAAGATGTTGACAGAAAAACATGGCTGCAGGTGAGTTAAAATATGTTTTACTTGTGTTGTTTTCTTGAGAGAAAGAGATAAAGAGATATTTTGGTATCATCCGTGTTCTCGCTTTGATAAGTTTGTTTCATATCGGCAGGAAACCATAGTGAGTATGGCTGTCGCGGGAGCTATTGTTGGTGCTGCGTTTGGTGGATATATTAATGACAGGTGGGGCAGGAGAGTGGCAATTTTAGGTGCCGATGTTGTGTTCTTTTT